AAGAAGCAGCAAGTACCACGGCAGGCCACAAAAGGAGAGGTCGACGTCCGGCACGTTCCAGCAGAGGCAGTGAGATGATTGTGACTATCACATTGAAAACACCAATACCCACTACACAATACTGAATTTTATCAGCTTCTAGGCCGGAAGTTGCCAACATGACGGATGAATAAGAAATAACCTGTAGGAAATGGTTGAAAACAGAGAGAAATCGATGGAGTAAAATGCCGCAGCGTTACACAGTTAGTCGGTCATCATCAATATGAATACACGGGCACACCAAAACACACACACAAATCAGCAATGCGTCAGTGATACTAGTGCAACTGGACACTTACTGCATTGATGCCACTGAGTTGTTGCTGGACTTGAATCAGACAAGCCAAGAGAATGGGCATCCGTAAATCTTTGCGAGTACAGATTTGGATGAATTTGAATTTGGGTTGTTTTGCAGCCGCTTCCATTTCCTCTTTCAGGCCATTGATGAAGACGTCTGGATCTTCTTTGGAGTTCAGTTTGACAAAAGCTTTGCGTGCCTCGAATTCCTTGCCTTTTTTCATAAACAAGAATCGGGGGCTTTCTGGGCAAATCGGTAGGATAAACAGTGAGATGGTCGCTGGTACAGCTGCTAACCCCATAGCCAACGGCCAAAATCTGTCGGTGTTCAGAATCTTATCCAGGGTGAGAATGTAGGACATCATGATACCAATGGTCACAGCCAATTGATGACAAGCTCCGATAGCACCTCGAATGTCTTGCGGTGATACTTCCGTCAGATACATTGATGTGACACCCAGGCTAATGCCAGCATTGAAACCGGTCACGATTCTGCCAACATACAACAGAGCGGGTGATTTGGCGACCACGCAAGGTCCACTCAATACCGCCCCAACGATCGAGAATATATGGTTAATAAGCAAGGTGTTTCGCCTGTGTAGGGAAAATAAAGAACAAATAATTTACGGTTGGAGGCTCTGGTCACACTCGTCAAGAGGTAAAAGATTGGCGAAAAATGAAAACAAAACGCTGTCAAAAAATAAGTTCCTCATTGGATCAAATGGATAATATAGACATGCAAATTAGTGTAATTTACCAAACAAAGGAATTGCGCTGCATGTGTGTGTGATTGTGTACGTCATTTGTATAACTCACCTTCCCAATGATTCTGCTATTGCACCAGATGAGAAAGAACCCGCGGCACCAGCCACCACAAACACTGCACTGACCAAGGCATATAGGAATGAGGTACTAACTTTTCCGCTAACGTTGTCGCTCAAAAATTTTTTGATATGCTGTTGAGAGGGAAAAAAATCAATGAGGAGGAAAAGAAAGGAGAAATATGTCATTCTAATGCCCAGAACAGAGCATGTATTCAGAGACGGTCCTTCAACAAGTGAGAAAATGAATAAACTAGACCAAGGATATTGATATAATACTCACGTCACTGGGAAGATTCACCACGCCCGAGTTGTAACCGATGACGAAGGACGATCCAAAACAGGTGATGAACACCGTCAGGATTAGCATAGGCGTAATGCCAGAACCCTGCAACGGAAATGGACAATCATATAGAGAAACGTTAGTTTTGCATGAAAATATCTTACAGTTGATTATACCTAGTTCACTAGCTGTATGAACACGTTGATAAACGTTTACCTTTAATAATTATCAAGTAAGAGGAGGGGGTACTTCGAGCGGAACAAAACATGTGCGAAAGGTATGGGATCTGGATGAGGTAGGACACGAAAGATGATCGTATAACCCTTCCCTGTCAAGGCGGACACAGCAAATACAAACACATAAGGTTGGTTTGCCGCATTGCATGAGCGGCTCAAGGCACAAACAATCTCTGTGGTTCCAGTTCCTGCATTAATACTATTAATACTACTAATGCAAAGCAGCTTTACTTTGAAAATCAACAATAGAAAATTCGAATAAAGCAAAAGAAAAACAACAGCACTCTATTTTTACCTAAAAAAACGCTGCCATTGGTCACAGTGATCGATCTTGTGGTGATGGGATATTTTACATCCAACCTCATCTGTGAATCTCACGCATGAGGCAAAACCACTCTGACTTCCGAGGATAAATCGATATCACTGTTATCAAAAATGGAAACCAATATGAATCTACTGGTCCTTGAATTGATATATCATTATACTTTTATTGTGGAACAATACCACCTCAGTTCAAGTTGTAACACGAGGCAGCAGACGAAGCGCATTGCTTGTGGTCGCCAAAAACCAATGCATGTCTAGTATCCTAAGTAGGCATAGTCGAGGCAAGTATTCCAGTTTAGGGAATTTTTCACCTTTAACGCCACGATTACTCAACTCACACATAACATGCATTTGATAATTGGACTATCAGTGAGTTGTTGATTTATCAACAATTGAGGCTGTTAATACTAATGGGTTTACTTTATTTTCTTAGATGGACATTCACTAGATTTGAAACCGTTTTTACCGGACAGTTTGAGCAGCGAACTGCACATATTTACCCAAAAGGTGAAACACATATACATTAAATAACATACAACCACAGTAACGTGAGCTGTGTCCACTTGAGCACTGACCAAAGGTAACCCGTGCAAAAAAAAGAAACGATTGCGGAGCACGTAACTTCTGAGTTCAATGACAGAAACTACAAGATCCACTTAGCTCAGATCAATATCACAATCATTACGAAATATCAGAAATAAAACAAACCCTCATGACTTCTTGATTGTTATGCTGGTGAGACTTACCCCACAAGCCATGTTTTTGTCGTATCGCTTTCCAACTTCTTTGTTGCGCTCAAGCTTGACGACTGAATGATGGCACCAGTTTCTCGGTGCCTTAAAAGTCTTCGAGCAGTCCGGCACCGCCCAAGGTCGTCGGTGTGTCCTTCATTCTGCAAGTGCCTGTACTGACACTGCACGCTACCCACGGGGCCTTTCCAACTCAAACATCATTCGTTCAGAAACTGCATCATGGGGTTCCAATGGAACTCGTTTTGAGAAGAACCAATTGGCTTGAAGGATTGTCTCGTGACACGGCATATCCAAAGCTCATTAATCGTAGTCGATTTGGGACCGCGTGCAAATGATCCACTTACACTGCGCCGCTGCGGCCACCAGTTTGATGGTGAAATCAGAGGCGTATTACGCGATAACTGTGGTTGGTTCTATCCGGTATACAATACCAGAGGGGAGTATGATTAAGGTGTGCGAGAGTTTGAGGTTACACACTTCAAACCACAGTATGCCTTCCCCCGCCCCGGAATTCGATAAGTAGACCTGTATTTCACGGTGTGATGACACCTACACACGGCGTTGAAAACACGTGCACACGTGCGCGCTTACAAGCACACATGCTACACACCCACGAACTTTAAACAAATACTAGTTTCTCAACACACCCTTTCATTTGACTAAAAAGCGAATAACACTCAGTAAGAGAGAGAAAGGCTAGTTAACCTGTCAATAATTATTCCCCAAACAATTACACCATCGTGTAGGTATGTGGATGAGTGCGTGTACACAAATCCGAACTGCTTCGCTGCTAACAGTCGGCGTTGCGAATGGTCTGTACAATAGAGTAAGACTTGTACGGGCATTGTGCATAAGAAAACGTCACAAACATTCGAACTACTGCCAAACTACAGTGGGCGTTCAATTGACCAAGTGGAAGATTTCCGTATGAGTCCGATGCTCTTCACCCAATTCCTCAACGCGAGTTCATTAAATGATAATTATAAAGAGTGGAATATCACTCCCATAGTCTGTCATCCGTAAGAAGCCATCATTGATACCCATCGAACAGATTTGCTAACAAAGGAAACAAGACATTTACAGAAGAGCAAGTGAAGGAATTGTAACAACGGAGAGGCTTCAGAGCAAAAGTAACAAAAGTGTTTTGCACGACCATTAAGGAGTGCCAAAACACCTAAGTCACTCGTCAGTCAATGCTGAGAGTTGTTAAATTTTGTGTTCTATCAGATGATAGTTGGGGGCTATAACCGGATGAAATCTCAACCCAAGTCTCCTCACTAAACGTTCACCATCTTTATTAGAGTACAGTTTGTCTGTCGGCTTTGCCATAGACCGTTTTAATAGAAACGTATCCAAGCCTCCCGCTCGGTCAAACTTGAAAGTGTCTAAATATGATAAAGGTATCTATTCATTCCACTTAATTAGAAGAAGGATACAGAGTTTTGCCAAACTGACTCGATAACCACTCGATAATTGAAACATTTGGTTCTACTCATTCAGCGTCTGTTTTCGTCCTCTCGCCTTATTACGCAAATTCACTACCAAAAAGGGTTTGGTTCGCGTTCATATGGCAAGCTTCACCATGTGTCTTTAATGGCAGCCCACTAACTGATCAGTTACTCAATTTTAGAGTATTTGGAATGTTGGGCGTCACTACATCACCGTAAAAAGCAGTTTCCAAATGTTTTGCATGAATTGGCAACTGGTTGATCGAATCGAATAGTAAGTATCGATTTTTAACTTTAAAATCTTTTTATTTCTCTCATTGTTAATTGTGACTAAATATCACTCTCACGTGGAAAAATCCGGCTAAAAATGAATACCAGACATATTCCATCCCCAGTGTCCGGAAACGCCTGATTTGATAGCCGTTATTCACATTCACATTCACCAAATGCAAGCACTTACTAGTTATCTGATTGCCCCACACGAATTCATAAAAGAGAACCAGATACCGTGAGCTGGTATACGTGTGTTGAGCCAGGGAAAGAGATGGGGGAGTCTGTATGGACGTTTCACATTCACTTTTCACTTGTCGGATGTAAAGGAACTTAATTTCTTCTTAGTTCAGAAACTTAGCTCAAATGGCTAATTTATCATAATACACTTTACACGGTCAAATACCATATCTGAAGCGATCGTTTCTGTAGGGACCGAATTGTGTTCACTTTTTTCTAACTTTTTTTCTTAGGTTAGATTCCTGAACTGTAAGAGATTTCTTCTCTTGTTTTTCTCTATAGACTCTACTGAAACAGGAATGCAAACGAACCCGTCATTGAATGGGGAACATGGTCCGCGTTTTTCCTGATTCCACAAGGCATCTTATTGTTTAACCTCTTAGGAGAATCGCATTTGATCCTAAGTTACTTTTACGATTGAACTTCTTCCTGGCTAAATTCATTCATTTACATGTTGGCCTTCCGGATTTTGGCCCTTGTGTGTCCACATAATTCGTTTGTCGTCTTTTTCATTTACTTGAACCTTTGCAAGTATCCCGTGGTTACTTAATTAGTGCAGATTCTTACACAACAAGGATTAGTTTATGATCGACATTACCCCACAGACAGTTGGATTCAAAATTTGAAAAAAAAGAGTCATTTTTTTGTTTTTCCACTTGGTTACCCGTGGTACTTCTGACCGTGGTTATAACTGAATACATACATACTGAAGTGGGTGGACAGAACACAAGTTGCCGTGTCTCATACAAAGAATTTCGCGCTGCGCGTTTATGCTTTCCCCGATGAACTTAGGCTCGGAAATTGTTTTGACTTCCGCCGTAATATCTACGCCCTTAGAACGAAAAAAACGCTGTATCAAGATTAGTCTATGTCAAAGGTTTCGATAAAATGTATGCGAAACCTAGCACAAAACGTCCTTCTCTGGAACTGCGAACTCACTACCTCCATTCGTAATAGGGATGAGGCAAGCCCTTGTTCAATCTGACTGATATCGGTCGGAAATATGTTTGACTCATTAATCCCCAGAACGGGTGTGATTCGCGCAGTTAAGCATTTGCGAATAACTTCAAACAGAAAAGTAGCGCGATAGCACATTGATCATTTTGCTTCGAGAATTTGAGAATAACAGCGCATGTCAGATACACCCTATCGAATTACATTTTGCTTGAATGCGAACGTGTCAGCCGAGTTGCTGGCACTCGACACTGTTCGGATAAACGCAATGGTCTATCTGGAACCGCAATCGTGGCAGTAGTAGTAGTTCTAGTAGCCTATCNAGCCTATCGTAACCATCAAAATCGAACAATGGGGCAATTAAATTGTACAAATAAATCATTTTGAGATCCTCAGTCTAGCAATTGTGCTCGAAGTTCCATTTGAACCAGTTCAGATTATTAAACTGGCGAAAGACACAAGATAAAAACAAACATTTTGCAGAGTTTGCCCAGTGTATAGTAAATCAGCCTGTTTTAATCATACATCGGTAACTGAACATCGTTCCAAAAAATTAG